GCAGCTGAATTTGGAGGTTTCGACAGTTGCAAACTTTTTCATGAACGCTCGTCGACGATCTATGGATAAATGGATCGATGACAAGGAAGTCCAAATGACAGCCTCAACTTCCTCTCCAGTACATAGTCTGGAGACCTCTCCTCCCAATCACAATGTGCACAATACATCTCAGATCAATGAACATTGCACTCATCGGTCTGTTCACGACTCTATACCGACTACCCAAATTCCTGATGTCTCAGACTCGGTGCTACGTCGAATCCCGCCTGGTCATAATGTTGCCCCATCTTCCCTGGAGCTTGCACCGTCTCCACCGCCACCCAGACTGACGCCCGATCCCACCATCACCTTCAATCATAATGATGTTCATTTGAATGCACCTTGTTTGGTCAGTGAACACGAGCATACTTCACTGTCAGGAGGTTTGTTGATATCTTCCACTGACTCTGCAGCTCTACAAACCCAGTTGCTTGGTCACGTGCTTGTCGGCGGGCAAAACGCCATGTTGTTGTCACACAGCTTAGGTCCCAATCCTGAAAAGTCCATCGCGCAGCCGATATCTACCTCCGGACTTTCATGTATGTCGTCCAATCTGTCTAATATGAAACCCACATTGGATTCACTTTGTGACCCGCCAACGTTGTCCCCATCCGACTCACATTTACCCCCATCTCAGTTGGACTCAATTCACGAGACTCATCCAATTCACACTATAGCAATTGGATCGGTCTCAGATGCCGTCTGCGCCGCGAACAACGTGCTCCCTTCGGCCTCTACCCTTATAGGACACGATCGTCTTGGGCTAGACAGCATCGGACATGTAAGTGTGTCCACTGCACTCGCTTCCTCTTCGGCGGCACGTACTGTATTGACTATGCACCCGAAACAGGAGGATCTGGGTCCCGGTCTTCTGACAACCACGACTACTTTAAATTAAAAAAATAACTGATAAAGACCATGTGTGATCTTGTTTTCGGTGTATTGTTTCTTCCCACACCCTTCCCTCACAATTCTCCGGCGCTGTGTACACATTACCGTCTAATCATATGCACGGGCTACTCCTCACTTATCTGATCATGGATGTGATTGAACTGTGTTTAACCCTTTGTCTTCGTGTGTGAACCCCCTTTTCTTCAATGACTTATGCCACCGGGGTTGTGGACATTTACTTTATCAAATGGGAGGTTTCTTCCTCATCCCTTATCCGTACCACCATCTCCTCCAAGGTGCAATACCCTTCTGTTCAGTTCTCTTATATGT